CCCCCACCGTAGTCCCCGGAGGCGACCTGGCCAAGGTGCAGCGTGCCGTCTGCATGCTGAGCAACACCACAGCCATTGCTGAGGCCTGGGCCCGCCTGGACCATAAGTTTGACCTGATGTATGCCAAGCGTGCCTTTTTCCACTGGTACGTTGGGGAAGGGATGGAGGAAGGAGAATTCTCAGAGGCTCGGGAGGATATGGCTGCTCTGGAGAAGGATTATGAAGAAGTGGGTGTGGATTCTATTGAAGGAGAGGGTGAAGAGGAAGGTGAGGAATATTAGACCTGCTCCACTACATCTCTGCTGCATGGCTCATCTCCATGATTTTTCACTTAATACACTTAGCTTACTAGTTATCTGGGGCAGTGATACTACAAAGGAGTGGAGCAGACACTAGGATGTCTTGCCATTCCACCACGTGATCATGTCAGTTTTCCATGTCTTTGTAAATGTATCATCATGTCTGTGAAATAAAAAGCTATAAAAACATTCTGGGTATGTGCCATTCAATACAGTTTTAAAAAGAATGTCTATTGAGTGACATCAGAAATACAGTATTTTCTGCTACATAGATGCTGCATACATGACGCCACCCAGAATCACTGTGTGAGATGGGCAGCTGTATAAATGTGAATCTGCTTTAGGCCATTAACTTTGGGATGCTACCTACCCTGGCTAGTTCACAAATAGTAAAACCAAGCCATGGAGATTTAATATGTTTGAATCAAGTTTTTTTAGTTGGAAAAATTAATTTCTTTTGATTTGAGGTTCTAAAATGGTACACATGCTAATAGTCCCTTCAACTAAACCTTTCCTATATTGAAAGAAATGGGCCAGTTCTAATGGTTGTCCATCCAAAATTTTGCTATACTGTAGTGCTGAAGAGAATGAAGATAATTCTTGCAGTCTGTCAGCATAAGGATGGGCAAATTTCAAGATTCTGGGATATACATTAGTTATGTAACCAAGCACATGTATTCACTTTTTAAAAATTGGTCTGAACAGACTCAGCTTTAACAGCACCTGCCCTCTTGAGGAATGTTTGAGATGAGATGGTTTCAACAGACTGAATTTCGCATGTCCAAAGAGTCTGGGTTTGACTCAAGCTGGCGTCAGCCACAGCAACTGGCATCTTTTGAATGCTGGGATCTCTGCAGAGCATCAGTGCTGACGTCTATATTCCATATTGAGCTGCAGACTAATCAAAGTGTGGCAGTGGCTGTGGAAACAGTGGCTATTTTAATTTGCCATAATGCTTCAGTGACCTTGGGACGTTGTAGGAGGTGAAGAGTGTCCAAATGATCTCGGAGCACTTTGCCAGAAACCCCTCGGATATAGCGCTGGCATGTAGGGAGAAGGTTCAACATGGCTCTGGGAGAATCCGCCTAGAGCCCAGGTTCTGCTCCCTGTTACACCTTTTGGTCTTCTGCAATTTGCTCAATAATTGAGGCTGTTGGAATCCTCTGAAAACTAATGGGGGTTCTGCCAGTGCAGTTATGATAAGCAAGTGTTAAAATGTATGCTTGTTATACTGTAATCTTATCTGCTGCGTGGAAAATAGCCAATAACCTTTTGTTTGAACATGAAAAATGCCATCACACATTTCTAGACTCTAGTTTGGGGGGTGGAGGAGGTAAGAAAAGGTAATTTGGGCAAGCTTAAAATGTAGCTTTAATTCCAACAAGTTATAGCACTGTATTTTTGTAAAATAATTCTCATACTACCCCAAATATACTTTTCAAACTGCCTTACACATATTTATGATGAACGTGATTTACTTTACGCATGTACAAGATTGCAATCTCAGTCAAAGATTTTGGTGGCCAGGAAGCACACTGGATAAGTAAAGAGAAGAGATAAAAATCATAAATCTTAAATTTGATAACTCTAAATGAAGTTCAAGATTTTACTAAACTATCCTATGGCTAAATTTCTATTTTCCTTTACATCTTGTGCTGATAATACACAATAATTCCTTTGTACAAATCCCAGTACATGAGAGACATCAAGTTAAAGGATAAAGTAAATTAGAGTCAGCATTTAACATGTAAAAGATGATCTGCTGAGAATCAGGGTTTCAGGGAGATGGTTTTTTAAATTTAAATAAGCAGTACATAAAACAAAAAGCATAATCTTGAAAGGGGGAAACAAATGTTAGGGGAAAAAACAACCTGAGAGAATTCAAAAGTCTATTTCTAATGTTAAGGTGAGATACAGTTTAAAAAATCAATACAATATTTCTATTGAAAAAGCACATTTTATAGAGCAATTTATGAGGAATTACTTGCCAATAGCTAAAAATGAAGAACAATAACAACACCTAAATAAAGCCATTTGTAATTAAAGGATCCTACCCTCTTAATATTTCAGCCTTGCTGTTCCCCATTTTTAAATACCACTGATCCCCCACCCTCCAAAAAATCCCAATGTTTTGTTATAGTAAGTCTGGCAGCTAACAAACAATAAATATATTTTCACATTGCAATGATAGCAGCTGAGCCAGTAGGGTGAAGCTTTAGAGGTCTCAAATCTCCTGTTCCAGAAAACCTGGGTTTATATACCCTAGTTCTCTCTCCTGTTCTGGCGTACCTGCTTGGTAGTTCTTGCTGTTGCTAATAAATTTCCAGTGGAATGCCTTTGCTGTACTTGGCATCCCACCCCACAGCCTTTGCGCCTTCCTGGCAAGGAAAAGGGGGAAGCATTCTGGAATGTCACCTTCTGGTTGGGCAGCATGTCACTAGGAAAATCAGTTCCCATCCTCCTTTGTAGGGAGAATGATCAATCTCACCAGAGATAGCGAATCAAACTTAATTTCCATTTACAAAGGGAAAAAAAGAGAAATGTAAAAAATAGTTTTTAACTTTAAGTCGTTTCATCCAATGGTAGAGAAAAGAAGAATACAAGACTACTCAGATCCCCAGCAGCATCTTAGAAGAACCTCCAATAGAAAAATATACAGAAAAAGTTAAGGCTCTGAGCAGATTCCAAGGACAAAGGTGATCCTAGAATTCAGCACCAATTTCCTCAAAGCTGCCAAATGAAATGAATAAATGTAGAGATTGCCATCAGAGAGACTACTATGTATTAATTTAATTAGAACCCATCTAACTCAGTCTTAAAAAATTAAAATAATACAATTTTAAAGTGGTATGACGCCATCTATTGATTATTTTTATTATAAACTTTGGAGGATTTGCGCAATACCTTTTTGAAAAGTGTTTTTTACCATAAGGCATCCAGTTCAAATCCGAAATCCTTTGTTCATATTTTTTAAAAAGACTTTCAGGAGAGTCTGTTGACATAAGAGTTCTGTATGATGTTGAGACTCCTTTGACTTTAAATCATGTGAATATTGTTATGTTCTTGATTTGAGATCCCATTAAGTTTCAAATGAAATTACTGCATTGTTTCATCTGATATCAAATTGTAGCCAATCCTTCTACAAGATATGGTCAACAGAAAAAGATTTCCCATCAATATTCAAATCTCTAATTCTATAAAATCAGTTGTCTTCTCATTCTTTATAAAGATAATATTAATCCACATTTAAAACCAAAGAATGGGAGAAAAGGGGAGAATCAGGACTCATAAATTGTTTCCACTTTTTTAAAATATTAAAAATTAGTGTTAAATAAGGATATTGTATTTGTAGATATGGTTTTTTAAATATTTGGGTAGAACAGTATAGTTCTAATTGATATAAAGTCCAATGCTCCAATATATTTTGAGTTTTGAATAATATAAATTATTTTAATTTTAAAGGAACGAGTAATGTTTTAGATCTAGTATATGTAAAACTCTGTAAAGCTTTTATTTATAGAGTATGATTTGCCCAATCCTATTTTTTTAATCCTGTATAATTTTATACATCAATTAAGAAAGGAATTATTTTGCAATGAGTAAAAGCAATGAATAAGCAAGTGAATTGGAAGTTTTAAACAGAAATAGAATTTTAGGAAGAAGTGACATTTAAGCGTGTGGCTATCTTACCAAGCAATAATAAAGGAAGATTGTTGCTATGACATACGTTTTTAATCTTTCAACCATAATTAAGTTTCTTTAACTGATGCCAATCTGTTGTAATAATTGCTCAATAATATCTAAATCCACCGAGAAAAATATAATCTAGTAGCTTCTTGAAGCTGGTTTTATCAATGCTGATCAACTTAATCAATAAATTATTAAAATGACTGCTCTTGTATTATTTATTTGCTTGTTTATTTGTTATCCTGTCTCCTCTCCTGGGGCTCAAGGCCATCTACATGGGGACTTCCATTTTATGCCAGCAGTAGCTCTTTGAGGTGGGTTAAGTAGACAGAGGGTGATCAGCCCCAGCTACCTCATGTAAAGGTATTCAATTCAAACTGTAATTATAATAATAATATATTATATAATAATAATATATTATATATTATAATAATAATATCTTTGGTAGGATCTGGAAGAAAAATAAGCATATCAGCTGCAAATAAATTTAATCCATCAGGTTCTGTTTTTACACTGTTCTTGAACACGGACCTTCCTTGCAATACTCTGTGCTAATACACTGATAATGAAATTGAACAAAAGTGGAAAAACAGGAAAGTAAGGTATGATTCCATCGATGATGAAGAAGATGTCCTCTGGAGAAATTAAAAGAACCTGTTAATTTTTTAAGCTTTAAGATTAAGTTCTGCTATAAAATCAATTTTTGCTCAATAGGCCTAGATATCTCTGTCCTGGTTTTTTATTGGCATATAAAATAATTATCTTGCTGAGAATTCTATGGATGTTTCCTAACTTTGCAAGGCCTCTAGATGGCACCCCGTATATGCATACAGCAGATGCTTCTAGGAGAAGAGCAGGTTTGGAATTCTACCTAATATAATTGGCACAGAAATCTGGCACAGTGAACTGCTGTTGGAGCTAGATGGCAGCAACAGGATAACTATTTGCTGCCATCTTAGGGTGCTCTAAATTTTTGCAGCTCAGATCTGGTATTCTTGGGGTTGGTTATAGGTTAACAAAAAGTTATCTTTATGCAGTAGAAAGCTCCTTCTCTGTCATCTATCAAAAGGTAGCACCTTTTCTGCCTAACAAATTTCATTAAAAGATATATGTTTTTGTTGTGAGCTACAGCTCACTTCATCAAATAAAATGGAGTGGCTCTGTCTATAATTAATTATGGGGAACACTGGTACTCTTAAAGCCATGGTAATAAAGCAAATGCTCCTTTGTGATTTGGTTCATACGTAATTTTAAGTCTTAAAAATAGGCAGTTCAATTTAGAATGCTTTTTATTTCCAACTTTCCTTATACCTAGCATTTTGAGTTTGTTAGTTCAAAGACAGAAACAGTTCATGCAGGATACTCAGCAGAAAACAGTTCGTGAACAGAAATATTGAGAATGACCAGTGATGAAGATAAAGAGTATTGTTATAATATTCAGAATTCCCAATCAGCTTAGCTAAGGGTTTTCCTGCTGGAATTGAAGTCCCAACTTATCTGGA